CGTTTTCGGTTATACCGTTTTTTTTTGCTTACGTTTAACCTGGCAGTTATAACCGGCTCAAAAAACCGTATTTTTGTCAAAAACCGTTTTCGGTTTTTTTTATTCCAATAGATTAGAAAGTTACATTTACAAATGCACTTATAGTTTGCGATACTACATTCGACTCGATATCAATATGATCAAAATTAGTACTATCGAAAGAATCATCAATAACAATGTAATAATACCAAATCCATTATTTGTGTTTTGTTGAGAAAAAAAATTTCCCCAACAAAAAATTTCCCATAACTCTCTTCAATGGTGATTTACAGAAAATAAATATCAACATAAATATTTTTACTTAAAAAATCAATGGATAATGCAATTCATCCTTTATTTTTTACTACCATCAAAAGCAAATTATCAATGTTTACTTTTAACCCCACTTACACTTCCTGGAGAATCGTATTCGTAATCGTAATTCAGATAATTATAGTCATATTTTGGTAATCACAAAAACCATCACCCAAATTCAATACAAGATCAAATGTGAAAAAAGATGATATATAAATACCGGATCAGTCTAACGTAAAAATATAGGATTACAAATAATTTTTCATGAATACTATAATAAAATTTAATTGTTTCTGGCGGATGTGAGCTGCACATTCAAGTTTGCTTCTGTATTTATAAAATAAAAATAAAAATTGAATTTTAGTTTTGTTTTAAATTTTAAAAATATGATAACCGGGTGGAATCCAAAAAATAAAACAAAAAACCGTTATAACGGGACAAAAAACAACCGATAAAACCGGATATTTCGAAGTAAAAAACCGTTTCAGTTAAAACCGTAAGGTTTTTCATCCCTATTCGTTGTTTTTGTTCGCTTTATCGCCTCTAATAACTCATCTTCTGTTATTATGGCCGTTGACGAACTTTCCTGATTTAGTACTATCTCAGCCGTTCGCCTTAAATATCCTCTGAAAATAATCCTGCCATCTTTAAAGCCTACACCGACGTCATAATTATTTTGCCGTTATAACAAGCATATGCGTGATTGTTTCTAAAATTAATGCCTTATTTACCCGAATTTTTATAAGGTTTAAGTTACATGTTACCACCAACGTTCAATCTCTTCGCATCTGTCACTATACCATCTTTCCTTTGCATCTCTGATCTTTCTCCTATTTCTGTGTGTATAATATTATACATGTTTTTGGTCTTTGGTTTTATAAGATCATCCTTGCTTCCATGAGATCCAGTAGTCTCATCGGTGCATCCGTTCATATTTTGTTCTTGATCAGCTTAGGTCGTTGTTAGTGTTGTCTCACATGTTAGCGTATATGAAGAGCGTTCTTCTTAACATTATGCCAGATTTTCGCGGTTCGCAATCTTTAGTAGGAATAATTTCTATTTTGGTAAGCTCTTCTTTAATTTTTAGTGTACTTGCTCTTTTGTTGATGATCTTTTCAAACGGATACTGTATCCTCTCTACTTTATTTTTAACAACAAGTTTTTTAGATTAATTCTAACCTTCTACAAACTGGTTGTGATTGATCACACATCACTGCGGGTATGATTTTACTGATTATTATGAATTTCGTATCGTTTGCAGATGAGAAGGAAGTCAATTTGTATTGGATGTATTTCTGAAATATATGCGACAATAAAATCGGTCTCAATGGCAGAATTGTGTCATATGAGATAATAACCGTAATATAATATGATGATAATATGAACCAATAACCAATAGGCAATTTTCTTTTTAGGTTAATCTCTGATTTACTTGGGTCCATATCATAGCTCTAAAATTGAAATCCATTTTCTTTTGGTTGTTGTTGACTGGTTTACAAAGTTCATTACTTGTGCATCCTTTGGATAATGCTACTTTAAAAGCTATTCTCGAATTTATTAAAAATTAAGTTTTCTTTGGTGTATCACAGATCTTTGTATTCATAATCACAAAGAGACCATGTTACAAAATATTTCAAAACTTTAATGGAAAATAAAAATTACAAAAAAGTTGATTCAACTTAAATACCTCCACAGATTACCTATTGTACAACAATCAAATCATTTATATCATATATAATCATAAAGATTGTAGACAAAATATTTTAAATAACTCAAACTATTTGTCCAGCTAAAATCAAGGACACAATTTTTTCTTTTCCTATTTCTCTTTTAGTTTTAGAAATACCCCTGTTTGATGATCCTTCTTAGGCCATCAAAGAAACAGCTAACAATAATGTTAATTATTATAACAATACATTTGTAATTACTAATTAACTGGGAATAAGCCACAATTTAAAGATAAAAATACGTTTATTGACGTTTTCAATTTCCACATTCGGAAATCGTTCTCAAAATACAAACAGTAAATTAAACAAAATTTGGTTTTTGTTTACATAGTGAAAAATTCTTCTAATAATTTAATTTTATCTGACTCATTTATATTGACAATTCAGACATACATTATGCATTTTAAAGTAGACGATTTAAATGATATTGCCAATATTGTTGAGTTGCGCTCTGGGACGACTTTACTTATAAGATAGTTCATTCGATTACATGAAATCAACTTTAACTTGAGAATATCCGTCAGAAAAAATCATTAGCATGTAATTCGTCTTTAAAAAGACAAACACATGACATGATGACAGTAAAAATTCCTGTTAGTGATTCCATAGTAAATTATGAGGGAAAAAACCAGGAAAAAAACCTCATTAATACTATCCGACATTGTAAGTATTTGTTCGTGAATTTAGTTTACCTTCAACAAACATCAAAATTCTGATTTTATATGTTACGTATTTAAAAAACTAAATGATGTATCCTCTATATGTTACTGACTTACTAATAATGGTATTTTCTTATTAATAACTTCCTCTTTCAATATTGGTAACCAGATCCTTCTACATTCTGCCGAGGAATTTGCGACACAATTGGTCCCTCATTAGCATAATTAGAGCCGCTTCTTTGATTTTTCTTTTTTTACCATCCGTATTCTTTTTAGGACTACATTTGAATTATTCCATTTGAACCCTTATTCTATTATAACCATGCGTGTTACAAATGAGATCTATCAAATCCCTAATTTTAATATAAGGATTGAGTTCACATATTCTAACATTAATGGCCTTGATGATTCACCTAAATAAATGATCGCTTCACAAGAATATTTTATAAATGCAATTCGTGTCCTTATTGTTCATTGTTAGGAAGAAGAGAAACATTTGTTTAACATCTTTTGTCATTGTTTGTGTTGAGATTCTAGTTCTGAGCTTGTCCTTACTAGGAAATAAGGGTCTGAATCACTACTGGTCCCCGTCTAGTTCTTACGTCTATTATACTATTGGAATGCCTCCCATCAATTAATACGTGATCAATTTGGTTCCTCGTTCTTCCATCATTTGATCTCCATGTTAACTTATAATGTTTTTCCTGGCAAATTGGGTCTTTGATAATCATGTTGCACCCTGCTGCAAACTCAATCAGCCTGAACCATTGTCATGGTAGTTCATGTATCTCTGATTTCCAGCTACCGCCTTATGTGTTCTTCTTTGCCTATTTTTGCGTTTAAGTCCCTAATAATATTTTGAAGTCGTTTGGGGCTTCCGTGTATAATCGGTTAGGGAGTCATAGATCTTCCCCTTCTCTTCCTCTGCTGCTTCTTCGGTTGGTGCATACACTGAGAATATCGATAGATTGAACATTTGCCCTTATTCTTATGCTACAGACTCTATCATTAATTGCTTTGGTAACAATATAGCAGATTTAATCCTTTCGCTTATTAAACAAACCACACCCCTTTCATACGTGTTTCATGTCAACACCAACCACAGAATAATAAACAAACAGAATGCCCACTCTCCACGAAAATTAAGTACGCGCATCGACTCCGCGCAGACGTCTCCGGCATGCTTTTACGAGGATTTTAAAGGGAACCAGTGTTGTTGATGTGTGTGCATGAAAAAAACACAGGTTTATTTGACTTACCGCAATCATAGACATACATACAATATATATTAACATTTTTAAATATAATAACATAAATATAAATAATAAATAAACATAAATGATAAGACAATTGCAAAACCTCACAAATCATAGTTTGTGTCCTCCTAAAACAAGGCGCGCGTGCTGAAAAACCATCTCAAAGGGGCGGCATCTGAGAGTGGCCCTTTCTGATTCTTATATATATTCTGTATAGCACTATTGACTTCTCCATTTGGATTGTCCCAGACCCAGTCCATCTGACTTCTTGGATTGCAGTCACATCGTATTGTAGTTCTTCCAGCTGTTTTATTGCTCTTGTGAAATTCCAGGTCGAAACCAACTTAGTAACGTTCCAAGTCCCTAATAGAGTGTCCTTTATTCGTAGCTTACGTCGTTTGTCCTGATAATCTGTCCTATTCCGAGCAATAGTATTCGTTTCGAGCAGTGTATTTCTCCGAGATATGGATCGCGGTCCCTATCACAACACCCCCAACCTGGAGAACCAATTTTCTAATCTGGTTTATTCGACATAGCATATTGTTCCAGTTTTAAGTCCCAGAAACTCGCCCTTTCACACCTCGTCCGTCACTACATAAACGCACACACTATTAAGTGCCATGTACCCAGTGTTACACGCGCATAGTGCCTTCGAGGATGTGAGAGTAGGAATTTGTGGCAGAGCAAGTTCTATTCCTAGAATTCCGATTACTTTTTCGGTCAGAAAACAGGTGGACTGTTCTCAGAGTTTTTATTGCGTGAGCATCGACAACTCTACTGCCCCGGAGATCCTTTATACCAACCACGACTAAACTGTTTTGGTCGTGGATAAATCGATATAGCGGGTCCATAGATAACTCTAATAATAATGGGAAAATATACTAATCTAATATATTTTGTTTGTGCGCTCTTTGACTAGTCAAAAGCAAAACTATTTTTATTTGATCAAATAAAATACCTTCTTTTTATTCTATTATTATGGTTGCAACCAATTTGTGATGTGTTGGTTAGATTTAGAGTATAAAGAAGTAAAAAAAACTAGCTTTATTAACAATCTTATTAAAACATTTTCATATACTAACAATAAACGTTTAAATATTTTTTGATAAATAAACAATTTCCCAAAAATATTTTAAACTTTTAACTCAAACAAATGTTAATTTAACTATTAGTTCTTTCCAGGATACTTTTAAAATCAGTACTGACTGAATCTCCATCTGTAGGGTGCGAAATAGTTCTTTCTAAAATTATTCTTCGAGGACTTCTAGAACGGTTTAGTCCAGAAGTTGTTGGGGATCTATAAATTTCTTCGATACTTTCGCTTTCGTCTTCATGACCTAAAACACAAAAAATGTCAATACAAAAATAAGTACAACATCAAACATTTAACATAAACATGTCCATTTATCCCATTAGCGTCCACGGATACCATGAGGTACACAATCCCCTCTCAATTTTACTGAGTGCTACTGGAAATGTTTTGAAGTGGGAGTTTCGAAATGATATACTTCAAGGTAGCCGACAAACACGACTTGCAATTATAATAATTATCTCAATTGTAAGCCGACTCCCTGTGAGTTTTCTAGGTGTCAATTTTTTTTCCTTAGACAGATTTAATTTTCATCGAAATTATGGATGATCGATGACGTAATATGTTTTTCGCAGTAAAATTGTATATTTTAATAAAATTTTTATATAAACGCAAATGAATATAATCAAACTTTTGTTATGAGCAAAAATATTTTGAATAGTTTTTAATTACTTTTGAATAGAAGCCCAAACTACGTGACACCATATGTATCCGTAGTGTTCGATTAGGCAAAAAATGACATTTATTATATAATAGTTTGCAATATAAACGTTTTTGTTTTAGTAAAGTTTTCCGCTATCCGAAGCAATAAAATATTATATAATTTAATGACGATGACTAAATGGTTCAGAAATTTATAGATAGTTATAACCCCAACCATTAGTAAATGACATAATCAATGAGGAATAAGCTAACTGAGACGAAGGGGGAATGATGTAAAAATTAACTGGTAAGAAGCAATTGATCATAACAGATTTAAATTTTATTTGCTTCGTATTTTTAGGGCGGCAGTTAAGCAGAAGCGGTAAATAAAGCTAACAAACACAATGTACGAAATTGAAGTTGAGAGGATGAATTTTGAATGTGCTATCCCAATGGAAAGTACAACCGCTACAAGCAGAACCCTTCTCGATAATAGAATTATTATACAGTTCGATGATGAATACCCATAGTGACAATGTGCTATACAATCAGGTGTCCAACCATACGACAGGTTCGAAGATATTCTCAGAAAGAAAAAGATACATATTGGTGACTCGTCCTCAACATGGAAGCCTATAATAATAATACGGGGAAACTGATCTTATGACCAAGGAGTAGCTGCTTACAGAATGCATCGAGAAAAAAAAGATACAGCCAATTTTTACCTGGCTTATGGATGTAGCTATACAAAACGCTTATTTGTATAGAAAAAATCATAAAGTATAAAATCTAGATTTTGGACGAAAATAGAACAAGTTAATTGAACAATAAGGTACCGCTCAAAAAAAACAGGAAGAATTACACTTAGCAAGAACAAAGTTCCAGAAGTACGGTTGAGTATATAAACATTTCGTAGTTTCTGTTCAAGAAACGCGTGGCAGGTACAGATTGTCAATTGTGGCCGAACAATGTGCCAAAAATGCAACGAAGAATTATGTTTAATTGTTTTGCGGCATTTCAAACAAAATGAGTAAAAATATGTTGTAATTTTTGTTTAATACCATGTAATTTTAGTTTTAACTTTTGCAATAAAATTGTCCTAAACGCCCAGTGATACCATATGTAGTATCAGCAGTTTTTTTAACCCCTGTATAAAAATGTTTGCAAAACAAAATTATTTTTAGGCAGTTTATAACAACATCATTAAATATATAAGAATTGCGCAAAAATTCAAAAAAAAATTATTCGAGGCGTTAATGGGTTAAAAGGGCAAGTCCCAATGTTTTTAACTTTCATAGAGATCTCGACTCATCCTTCAGACGACTTCTAAATAATTTTTCGAAGTTGTTTTCAATTAATATACCACTTTCCATTTTATTAGAATGTCCTCAGACTATTTTTTTAAATTAATTATTAGTTTGTAAGACGAGGAACTGTCACTTTCAATAAAAAACGCAGTAAAAAATATATAACCTATAAGTATTAAAGATGTGCCACTAAGGATAACAGACATAATAAAACTAATAAATGTAGCTAACATTCATCTCTTTCAAAATTTTTTTAAGTTTTCTCATCTAATAAAGTTTTTCAGCATTTGTCGTAAACAAATTGCAAACAAGCATTTTATTTTTTCTTTGTTAAAAACACAAAAAATATATTCCATTTGTGTTTGTGAATAAATATTGATTATCCATGAGGCAAAAACCGTTTCTTTAAGTCATTTCCATAACTTATCTCAGCTAAATTAAACGAAAATTATCATTGATGCTTTTTATTTATTATATACAGTGCTAGTCAAAAGTCTCGTGTCCCCCCCCTCGTATCTTTTGAACGGTTATCTTGTTTATAATAGTGCAATTTGGAGGAGGTACATAAACACATACGTAGGCTTTCTCAACTCGTCATAAACAGTCGGAGCCGTATATAGTGACAGGAGGACGGTACAAGCGCCACTGTGACAGATAATTTTAAATAAGACCTTATGGCAAGTATACCTCGTTTGAAAGTTATTAAAAATACCTATTCTAGTCATAATCATTTTGTTTGAGTTTAATGCTCATTTTGATGAATAAATTAAATAAATACTAAAAATGTAGCTTTCATAAGTGATAAATATTTAACAACCAGTTCTTATAGTAAGTGTTCAAAATGTGCTCCATCTACTTCCTGCTAGTAATCCATCCTATTTCTAAACTATTGCCGTACTCGTTCAAAGTGTCGGGAAATTGCCCTACATTCTTCAAATTCGTTGTTTTAAAATGTCAATATTGTCGTTCTGTACGTAAACTTTAGATTTTCCAGTATCCCCACAGAAAAAATCTAAGTGGTGTGAACGTCCGGTGACTGAGCTGGTCATTCTATCGTACCTCGTCATCCAATCCTATCTACCATGATATTCCTCATCTAGGTAACATCTTACTGCACCATAATGGTGGTGCAGGAGCACCATCTTGTTGAAACGTTATTTCCAAGTGGCCAATTCATCTGGATTATCCTCCGAATTCAAGTATTAATGGTTCAATGCATTTTGTAACATCTCCAGTACACTTACCGGTTAAAGTTAGTATTGAGAAAACATAGGCCCAACTATGTGTTTCCCAAAATACCTGCCCAAATATTTATTTTTTTTGGAAAGGAAATGTGTTTCACGAAAGACGTCCCCCCCCCCCAGGATTTGTGTCACTCCAATACCTCCACATTGTTGTGTTTGTTAGCCATTATCCATTGTAGAGTATAAAGTACTTTCGTCACTAAAACACAATTGTTTCTCATGTAATTTGTGTAGCAGGTGTTGGTTTATAATTTATTGGGCATAATTTTCCTGAATTCTAGTCTCGGTCGGGGTCATCAGTGAAAAGTTAGTGCACAATTTTTAATTTGTATGGAATAAATTTGTTTTTAGCCAACACTTGGTGTACTGTCTTTTGACTGATTCTCATAGACAGATGCAACTTGGGCTGTAGAAGAAGTAGGGTTCACTACCATTTCTGAATTATGTCAATTTTTTTGTCATCACTAATTGTGTCGACCAGATCGTTTGACATCCTCTGAACACTACCTGTTTAGTTTAAACTTCCCGAAGAAGCTTTCCCAAATACGAGCTCGTATATAGGGGCGAAATTACTTAACTAAACTTACAACTAACTAACTATATATTAACTAAGAACAACTAACTAAAAACAACTTGACCAACCTGAATTGACTAAACTAAATAGAAACAAAACTAAAAATTGGCTATAAACGCTTTTGCAAACTAAAAACAACTAGAAGAATTGACACACCTCAACTTTTGTGACATATAACCAAAGACTGACGGTGAATTTTATTAATTAAATGACAAATTAAATTTTTAGTATTTATTAATATTCGTCATAAGCATCTCAAATCCAATACAAAAGTAGTAATGAATAAATAAGGTATATTAAAAAATTGTATTGTTCGGGCAGCTATTTTTCTTGTGGCATTGTAAATTAATTTCTTTTATAACTGGAATAACCACAATAAAATAAAATACGTTAATTGACGTTTTCAATTTCCACTTCGAAATCTTCTCAAAATACAAACAGTAAAATTAAACAAATTAAACATAATTTGTTTATTTACTGTTTTGTATTTTGAGAACGATTTCCGAATTGAAATTGAAACGTCAATAAACAATTTTATCTTTAATTGGGCTTATTCCCCCATGTTATAAATAGTAATTATAAGAATGTAGTTTTGCATTTAATACCATAAATATTTTATACGTTCGCCTCTGTTTTAATTGTCCAAAAATCTTGACGTTGACGTAAAAACATTTAGATCATTGAAAAACGTCCACGTTTTTTGACAGTAAACCAGAGGCGGAGGTTTAATATTTAATTAATTAAATGCGAAAGCTACAATTTTAGTATTTATTTAATTTATATATCAAAATGAGCTTAAACTCAAATAAATAATATAGACTGAATAGGTATTTTCAATACCTTTCAAACGAGTATCACTTGCCATAAGTCCCATTTAAAATTATCTGTCACAGTGGCGTTGTAACGTCATCTGTCACTATTACGTCACCTGTTATGACTAGTTGAGAAGCCTACGTCTGATTATTACCTCCCTCCAAATTTCACTATTATAACAATAACCGTTCAAAAGATACGAAGGGGGAACGGACTTTTGACTAGCACTGTAAATTAATTATAATATATAATATATAAATATATACTATATATTATATATATATAATAATGTTATAATAAATATATATATATATCTGTTATTAGTGGTTTTTTTTCTGATGACAAAGATCTGAGAAACTGGCAAATAACAACATAAACTATTTTAAACACCGACACAAAAAAAATTCGCAACCTATAGTACCATCGGCGAAAAACAAAAGTTTCATTGGAAAATCAAGGTGTATACAGAATCCCGGTGAGGACTGCGACGATAAATCGTACATCGACAGACAAATCGAAGGACTACAAGTATAGACTCGAAGAAGCATTCGGTAAACGCCCATCGAAAGAAAACACAGAAAAACTTCATCACCATAGCACAACATGCCATCAACAACAGGACTCAAAATCGACTTAAAATGGAACACACAATGCTAGCCAATATCGA